AACAGGTCTCATGAAAATCAAAGGGAGATCAGTAGAGGAAAGGGACCAAGGGGTAGCGGGAGGGAAGAAAGAGGGAAGTGTCAGGGAGTGACAGTGTCTAAATTATATTGTTATATTGTGTGCATGTGCAAATATGCAACAACAAATCCCATCCTGTGTACAGTTATAATGCATCAATTTAAAAAATGGGGGGTGGGGGTTGTAGAACCACACACCAAACATTTCCCTCCAAACCTGTGGGGCCAGTGGTGTGGTTGATTGTGATTGCCTGGTGGGGATAATTATCATTTTGGTCTAATGGTGGAGATTTGCTGGGGGCATCCAAATTAAACAATATTGGAAACAAAAATCCTTTCAGCCAGGGACTTTTTCTTATTTATTCATGAAATAAGTTATAGCTCATTGTATGTATGATGTCTTTATTTAACTGTAGTGTTTACTCAGCACCTTTTATCTTTATTCATATGTATGCCAAATGTTAAACATAATTAATGTTGGACATTTGAACTTTTTTTTTTAACCATAAAAAATGCTATTAGCCAGACGCAAGTGCCACACGCCTGTAATCCCAGCAGCTCGAGAGGCTGAGGCAGAAGGATCATGAGTTCAAAGCCAGCCTCAGCAAAGGCGAGGCCCTAGGCAACTCAGTGAGACCCTGTCTCTAAATTAAATACAAAACAGGGCCAGGGATGTGGCTCAGTGGTCGAGTGCCCCTGAGTTCAATCCCTAGTACCCACCCACCCCCAAAAGAAAAATGCAGTTAAACATATTTTTAAATGGTTTTAAAAAATAATGTAAGAGAAATATAAAGTGAGCAAGATGCCTGGACAAATTACACCAGCTTTGGAGTTAGGGATACTTAATTTCAACACTTACTAGGGCTTTTTTTTAATATTTATTTTTTAGGTTTTTTGGTGAACACAACATCTTTATTTTATTTTATGTGGTGCTAAGGATGGAACACAGCGCCCCGTGCAGGCCAGGCGAGTGCGCTACCGCTTGAGCCACATCCCCAGCCCACTTACTAGTTTTTTGACCTTGGGCAGATCACTTAACCTTTTTGAACCTTAGTTTTCTCTTCTGGAAATTACTTTTTATAGAGTTATTGAAATAAATATCATGTTTGCCTGAGACATATATAGTAACTATTCAAAAATGGTAGTTCTTAGCATATTGCATTTCATACATTGATCCTTTTTTGTTTTAGCCATGCATAACAGTCAGCCAAGATACAAATTGCTTTTTAGAATTCATGTTAGACAGTGATGTGCAGTGGGAAAGAGTGTTGCCCAGAGAGTCAGATTTCCTAGGTTTGAACCTGCTTCATCACTTCCTACCTAGTGTGTAATCAGGTTACTAAATTGCTCTGTGCCTCAGTTTCCTCGTTTGTAAAATGTCACTAATAGTTCTAGCTCACAGCACTGTTAAGAAGAATAAATTAATATATGTAACATGCTTCCAAAGTATCTGGCACATAATAAGCACCAGGTATCTATTTGCTGCTGTTGTCATTTACTGTAACCATTTCTGCTGCTTTTTTTTTTAATTGTCTTTCTTGACAAGTAAGCACAAGTATCATTTTTTTTATTTGTTCACAATCTCCACACTTTGGAACAGGTGGTAAAATGAGATAGGGAGCTGTGGTAGGTTTTTTATTTATGCCCACAAGAATGCATTTGTGGTAAAATTTACATACTTTATGTCTGGCTTCTTTGAGTGCTGTGTTTCTTAGATTCATCTGTATTACGTGAATCCATAGTTCATGCTTATCTATGGCTGAATAGTACTCCATTGTATTAATATATCTCAATTTTTTTTATCCTTTCATTTGGTAATGAACAAGTGGGTTAGTCCCAGCTTGGGGTAAATATGAATCAAACTGCTGTGAATATTCATGTACAAGTCTTTGTGTGGACATATCTTGGGTGAACACCTAAGAGTAGAATTCCTGGATTATAGGGTAAGTGGGTGTCTATAAGCTGTTGTCAAAGCCACAGTATCATTTTTTTTTCTTAGTTGAAGATGGACACAATACCTTTATTTTGTTTATTTAATTTGTTTATGTAGTGCTGGGGATCAATCCAGTGCCTCACGCATGCTAGGCAAGTGCTGTACTACTGAGCCATAACCCCAGCCTCAAAGCCACAATATCATTTTGAGAAACATTGGTTAGAGGATCAAGAAAGGAAGAGGCCCCGTGTGGGAAGAATGAAAATAGTCAGCTGTAACAGTGTCGCCTCCATTTCCACCTTCTTCAGAGAGAGAGTAGAAGAGTGGGTGGGAGGTGGGGACAGTGACAGATTTATAGAGGAGAAGCTCTGCACAAAGCTTCAGCAGTCCTTGCATGAAAATTTATATTCTTACACTAGTTTATAAAGAACTTCTATTTCTATAATTTCTTTTGATTTTCACAACAGTGATATGGTATCTGCAGAGCACATATTACAGCATAATGTATGAAAACTATAAATGAGAAAACTAAGGCTCAGGAAAGGCAAACGACTTTCCCTGTCCCACAGCTAGTTACTGTCTGAGCTGGGACTCAAACTCCAGTCTTCACACAAGAAGTCTCTTGCCTGGTCTGCATCCTAGTTCAAACACCTACTAGGTTCTACTGTAGAACCTTGGACAAACTATTTGACCTCTCTGGGTCATACTTTTCTTAACTGCATAGTGAATATAATAATAGTATCTTCTCATGATGTTGAGAAGCATCATTGAGACAACAGTTGCATGATGTGCTTGACACATAGTAGAAATGCAGTAAATGTTAGTTGAATCTGAATCTGGGCTAAAGAAAATGTTATTGAACTAATTCTATACCTGGTATGACTTAGGGGTCACAGTGTCTCTCTCTTTAATTTTTTATCCAGATGCCCATCTGTAGAGGAACCCAACCAAGGACTCTGTTCCTTTCTTATTCTCTTCTCCTCCATCTGCTCCCCTCAATATCTCAGGGCTTTTGGGTAAATTAAATGTGGTCCTGTTCTTAAATATAATGCCAAGTAGTGGCACACACCTGTGGTCCCAGCTATTCTGAAGGCTGAGGCAGGAGGATCATCCAAGATCAAAATTCAGAACTAGCCAGGGCAACATAGCAACACCACATCTCAAAAGAAAAATAAAGCTGACAGCCTTTAAACAAATATACTTTAAAAAAAAAAAACTACTTACAGGGCTGGGAGTGTAGCCCAGTTAGAGGGCTTGCCTGCATATGTGAGGTCCTGGGTTCAATTCCCAGCAAAAAAAAAAAAAAAAAAAAATTGTGGAAGTCATTTGTGAACTATAAAATGTACCTGTGACCTGTGTGCAGTATGTCACTCTTGTTGAACCTGTGACTGCACTCCTGCCTCCTCTTTCTGATCCACTCCTATCCTTGACGTGCTAAGAAAACCACATACATTTGACATTGTTAGAGGTGCCTTCTTCCTTGGGATTTATTCTATTTGTTAATTAAGAGTTCTGTGTAGAATTAGGATGTAGCTTAGTGGTAGGACTCTTGCCTTGTCTTGAGGCCCTGGGTTCAATCCCCAGTGAAACATATACACACCACAAAAGGTCACTATAAGGGAATTTGATTATTGCATTAGAACGTACCATTGAAGAGCACAGTTGCAGCCTGCAATATTTGCCAAGCTTCCTGAGAGGCATGATGATGAGTTGTACTTTCTTCTGCAGACTGAGGACAGCAATGGGGACTTGGACCCGGGAGTCTTGCTGACAGCCCAGACCATCACATCTGAGACCACAAGCAGCACCACCACAACTCAGATTACCAAGGTAACAGGCCAGCTAGAGCTTCCCTAGGGAATCCAGTGGCCTGTCGAGCTTGCTGTTGGCCCTGGGGAAGGAGGACTATATTCCTATGGAACCAAATTATTCCAAGTGTCCCAGATAGAAAGACCCTGTTGCTTTCCCTGGCAGTAAATCAAGGAAGGCCCTGAGCGTATCCCAGCCCACTTGGTACTCTCACAAAGTCACATGTCGTCACTCTTTACAAATCTGTCTGTCTTTCCAGCTGTGCAGTTGCAGGTAAATTTAAAAATCAGCTTGGGCTGAGGGTACAGCTCTGTGGCAGAGTGTTTACCTACCATACTCAAGGCCCTGGGTTCCGTCCTCAGCACACACACACATACACACACACACACAYACACACACACATACACACACACACAAAAAAAGTCAGTTTAAAGGCAGGAATTGTTGATTTAATAGTGTGTTCATATTTTATTTCTAAGCCAAAAATCAGAACTCTGGGTCTAACAAAGAATTTTTATGTTATGTCCAGGGTTAGGGTCAGGGGAGCTATAGTTTGAGAGCTGAAATATTAAACTTACTAGGATATGGTCTATAGGAAACAGTAGAGACAAACATCTAAAATTGGAACTACCCTCAGAAAATCAGAGGTTGCTATAGTACTAGAGGAAAATGCATTTTCTCATGGGTAATAAATTCAGGTTCTTGACCAATCTCTGTCATTAATACGGATGACTGATTTCAGTTTTCCTCATCTGTCATGGAAACCTACCAGCCTTCAGGAGATTATCTGAAATATCTTTTGACATCAATAACATGAAAGTAATTTTAAAATAAAAGATCCCAATTTCAAACTGTGTGACATTTTTATTCATAGTGTATTCTGATTTTTTTTCCTCCTAAAAGTAATCAAATGGAAATATATAGAAGAACAAAGAGAGACACTTGCTTTGTTTACTTGCTGAATTTCTCTGGTGTTTGGGAGGAAGAAAAAAGGAGACAGTAAATGGAGAACCGTGGTTTTCTGTTCAGCTTATTAAAAATCTCAGTGAGCTCCAGGGTGGAGATGTGCTCATCTTAATAGGTTCTGCCAAGATTTTGGACATGTGGGTAAGAGGCTGTCCTATGCAGGGCCAGCTGCAGGTTAAAATTTGGAGCACAGCTTTCAGAATAATCGTTGCTATTTTGTTTTTTCTTTATTGTTACATTGCTGATCTCCTATGACCATTTTCCTTTGGTTACAGACTGTAAAAGGTGGAATATCAGAGACCCGGATTGAGAAGAGAATTGTGATCACAGGAGATGCTGATATTGACCATGACCAGGTAGGAATGCAGGGAAATTCTGAACTTGGGAGGGCAGGAAGATCAATGGACACGAGAGTGCTGTGTACAAAGGGTATCTCTGCCAACTTCATTTCCAAAAGGCTTCACAGCCATAGCTTTTGAGAAGAAGAACAGGACTGAGAAGGTAGAGGCCTGTGGGTGGGGCAGCAGAAGGGGAGCTAGGAGGTGCAGCAGAAGAGCTTGGGCTGTGCGTGGACCTAAGAATTGGGCTCAGATGCTGGCTCTCATTGTATTTCAGCACTCAACTCCCCAAGCCTCTGATTCCTCACCTGTCAGCCAGGGATGATGGTGCCCTCTCTCAGGGTTGCCTGCAGATCTAGTGAGATGCTGGATGTGCAGCCTGAGACCCATGGTGGGCTCCATGTTATGAAGGAGGAATAATGTCCTAAATCTGTGCTAGATTATATTGCAACAATAGAAAGGCTCGGTCCCTGCCTCAGGGCACTGTAATAGCTGAGGAGACAACTAGGCAAGTGCAGCGCGGTAGGCAAAACACCAGAAGGCTGGGACTTGGTTTCTGTCCTAGATCTAACACTAACTTGCTGTGTAACACTGGGCAATTCACTGCACCCCTGTTTTACCTCTTCTAAAAGAGAAGAGGTTGATCTAAATAAATTCTGGGCCCCTTCCTGGTGCTAAAATTCTATGTTTTTATGTTAATTAGGTGCTAATTGTGTGCTGCAAGCAATTAGCAAATAATAAGGTCAGAATTAATGTTCCCAATTCTCTTCTGGATGAGGTTAGCACAGTAAAGCTGCAGAGGAGAGGGGGTGGAAGAGACTGCATACAAATGCTTCTGGAATCATTGACAGGATTGCTAGAGCAGTAATTCTGTGGCCTTTATGCTGATATGCTGACTGCCTGAAGAAGAAGAAGAAAAAAAGATCTGAGCTGCAGTGCTGGCAGTTCCCTCGGTAGCAGGGTTGAGACTTACAGCAGGGAAACTGGGCTCAAGGTCCCAGAAACAAGACTGCAGATTCCAGTGGAATTTGCACTTGTATGTAGATGGCATGAAGACCCCCACTACTATGTATCATTATAATGCACCAATTTAAAAAAAGCCCTTCGGGAGACCTTGCAGGCCTGTGCCCAACTCGGTGGGCCCTGCCTTCCCCCGCCTGCAGCTGGGTGATTCGAGCCTCGCTGTGCTGGGTCTGTGCCAGACAGTAAGCATGAGAAAGAAGACGATCATGGTGTGCAGGAAGACAAACCGTGCTGCATCCTGGCTCTCAACTTACCAGTGCCCTGGAGCAACTTACAGTAACTACTTCTGTGAGCTGTAGTTTGACCTTCCTGGAATAAGGATCATCACGTGTTTCTTTAGGGTCATTATAAAAAAGGGGAGCAAGCACACCTGAGAGCTCAGAAAYGCTCCGATGAACCAACGTCAGAGCAGCGTTGCTTCTAGGAACTGAGGACCGTGTGGAAGGAGTACGACGACGTGGTCTCTGACTGGGGAGGGAGGACTTTAGGCAGGGAAAGCAGCGTGGCACAGCCTTTCAGGGAGAGGGGGAGGCAGAGTCACAAGGAGAGGGCTTGCGCTGGGTCTAAAGTATGAGCAGATGGGTTAGAAAAGCAGGAATGGTGAGCAGGGGCCCGTGGAGGTGGCAGGTCTAAGAATGGCTTTCATGGAGCCAAGAGACCAGAAGAGAATTTTCTCTTTTTCTGTCCTGAGATGGTCCTAGGGTGAGCATGAGCAGTCGGCTGGTCAGTTCTAGCCAGAGTCCCTTTTTTGTTGCTGTTGTTGTAGATGAACAGCATGCCTTTATTTTATTTTTATGTGGTACCGAGAATCGAATCCAGTGCCTCACACGTGAGGCAAGCACTCTGTCACTGAGCTACAGCCCCAGCCCCCAGAGTCCTTTCTGATACGGGATCTTCTCAGAGCTGGCAGCCAGAAGGGATTCCACTGCCCTCCTTTGACTTTCTCTCTTTTTAGCTTTTCTATGGTAATGCAAACTCTTCCAGGTGCTTAAACAGGGTCCCCTCAGAAACTAAAAGACAAGGTGGTAAACTTAAACTTCCTGTTGCATTACTTATTACCTGTGAAACAATAAGCACTTTATTTAACCTTCAGCTTCCCATTCTATAAAACACAAATAATGATACTATCCTACTTTTCTCACTTTGAGAAGATCAAGTAAACAATAGCAGGGCATGATAGCACACACCTGTAATCTTAGTGACTCAGGAGTCTGAGGCAAGAGGACCAAAAGTTTGAGGCCAGTCTCAGCAACTTGGTGATACCCTAAACAACTTAGCAAAACCTGTCTCAAAATAAAAAGGGCTGGGAAAGCTTGGCATGGTGGTGCACGACTATAATCCCAGCTGGTTTGGAGGCTAAAGCAGGAGGATTGTGAGTTCAAAGCCAGCTTCAGCAACTTAGTGAGGCCCTAAGCAACTTAGTGAGACCCTGTGTCAAGATCAGACATAAAAAGGGCTGGGAATGTGACTCAGAGGTAAAGCACCCCTGGGTTCAGTTTCCAGTACAAACAAAAAGATTAAATAATAAGTAATGGGCTCAGGCCAGTGTTTGGCGCATCATGGGCCATCTGCTGGTCCTTCCTGTCTTCTACTTCAGTCCTGACATTTCTTCCTTTTTTTATCACACACTTCTTTCCTGTCCTGTCCTGAACTTCCTGGTTACCCTCTTGGGTGGGAGAAGGTCAGGGATTTGGGGATAGGACATTTCCTTGAGGGAAGAAGGAAGCACATTGTTAAATCCTGCAAAGGAGAAAGCTGTGTTGAACAGATTTTGTCCTGTAGATTCCCTGCTTGCTCCTCTGAGACCCGCCCGGGTAGGTGTGGTCACCCCTGAGGTCCCTCTCTGATGCTCTGAAGACAACTCTTGCCTTCCCTTTCTCGTCCTGTTGGTCCAGGAGCCTCCCTGGGCAGGAGAGGGTGGGAAGGTGGTCATCAGCTTAGCTTATGCTGCCATGGTGCAGCCTGAGCTGGGTCAGCTCTGGCCCTTGCTGGCCTTCACAAGCCAGCCTGTTTTTCCCTGATGGGCATTGTTTCTTTTATAGGTCCTTGTACAAGCCATCAAGGAGGCAAAAGAACAGCACCCAGACATGTCTGTGACCAAGGTGGTTGTCCATCAGGAGACTGAGATCGCTGAGGACTGAGCTCAGGTAATAGGTCTTCCTGTTGGGGTTGAAGATGCCACTGTCCCAGCCTGAGAGCTCTGGCAGGAACTCTGGAACCCAGAGGAGATAGTGAATTATTTTACTTTAACCAAAGCAGGCTGCTGGGGCTGAGGTTGTAGCTCAGTGGTGGAGTGCTTGCCTGCCTTGTGTGAAGCACTGGGGTTGAGCCTCAGCACAATATATAACTACATACATACATACATACATACATACATTCACACATAAATATATAGTGTCTGACTCCAACTAAAAAAAGTAAAAAAAAAAAAAAAAAAAATTCATGGGCTGGGGATGTGGCTCAAGCGGTAGCGCACTCACCTGGCATGTGTGTGGCCCGGGTTCAATCCTCAGCACCACATACAAACAAAGATGTTGTGTCTGCTGAAAACTAAAAACTAAATAAAGATTCAGAATCATAAAAAAAAAAAATTCACAGTGCCAAAGCAAGCTGCTGTTGTGTCCCATCCTGAACAGTACCAGCAGTTTTGGGTAGGAAGAGCGACACCAAATTTGGATATAACGTCTCACCTCCTGACTCCTCCTGCCCCCCTGCTTCTCCACTTCAACTCACCCCCTTTTATTCTGCTCTGTGTGGCACCGGCATCTCTGGAATTTCCAAGCCCAAGCCTGGAAGGATCAGAGAACTGTCACAAAGAGCCAGATCAGGGTATCTGTAAGTGTACGGATTTGGGACAGGTGGGAGAAGGCAGTGACACTCTGGGGCCAAAAACTAGAAACAGGAAGCTACTTTGGGGAGCCAAATAACATAGTTTACAAAGGATTTGAGAAAACTATCAATCACAAGGTAGGATATGTCCAGTGCTCAGGTTCTAATGGTCACTTAGGGCCACAAGAACTTGGCAGTGGGACTGGGAAGCTGTCTCCTTCACAGAATTTAACAATGTGCTTCTTTCCTTCCTCTAGGAACTGTCCTGTCCCCAACTCCCTGCCCTTCTCCCATCCAAGAAAAACCAGCAATGATACAGAGCCAACCTGCAATAGTCAGACTTCAGACTTTCAAGATTACTTTAAACCACCAGGAAGTTTTCATTTTCTATTTGGAGTTTATACCAAGAGATTCTTCTAGCTATCACTGATCCTTTTGAAGACCTTTTTCTATATTGTGATACCAGAAATTGCTCAGCTTTTCACTCTATGGACTATTTCTAAAGAGTTTTTTACGGGGTGGTTTGTAACCCCTCCAACCTAGCCTCTCCCCATTTATTTCCAGCCCAGATACTAACAGGGTCCCCAGAATTCTTCAGGAAATCCTCCAGAGACCCTGTCAGCTGTGTTGGAGGCCAAAGTCAGCTCAGTGGGACTCCCCGCTCCTGCCCTAGTTTTACGCCCTCTGGATGACAGCGAAACTTCATGAACCAGCTCTTTCTCAGAGCTAAGATGCCACTTTACCAGAATGTCAGGCAGCATGACTGCCCTGATCCACAGACCCCAGAAAAATGTCCTGTCCCTCTGTTAGAGTGTTTTTGGTGAGGCAGAGACCTCCGCTGAGAATGTAGTGCTGTTCTCCCTCCCTCGCGCGCGCTCTGTTTTGGAGCTTCTTTTGGTCAGAGACATAAGAAGTTGCTTCAGGTAGATCTGATACTGTGAATGTTTGAACATACCCGTGGCCTTCACCTCCCCAGTTGCCCTTGTACCTCAGCAGCAGCGGTGGCTCTGCCAAGCACTCCCCTAGGCTCCCGTCTCAGGAGACCAAAACTCACGGAAAAGTAGGCACCTTTGGCCAAAAGCTCTACTCTAATGGAATGTTTTCAGTGGCGGTTTGGGGAAGGAAAGCTAATGAGGTTTTTAGAATAAGGTGTTCTAGTTCTGGGAGTGCGCACTTCATGCTGAGGAGTGGCGCTTACCTCAGTCTTCTAAGGAGTGTTTCAGGTAACCAGGTCTGGGCCTTTCTTAATTTATTGTCACAAGGGATGTAGCTCAGACAGGAGGCTGTGTTCTCTAACCTTCCTCCTGAGAGGCACCTGCCTGAGGACATCCTTCTGGAGCAAGGGGATTATCGGCTTCTAGGGACCATCCCTCCCACAGGACACCACATGATGGGAATAAGCCCTAGGGCTGCTCATCCCCCCTCACCACCTGAGGTCTGTCAGGTTTTGTGGGCTTGATTTTGTGGTGGGTTTTGGATTTAAGTTTTTTATTTGCCTTGGTTTTGAAAGTGAGGACTGATGTCCCCAATTCCTGGTAAGGATTTGGGGCATTTTTATTCAATAGGGCTTCTCTAATCCTCCAGCTTGCTTCCCACAACAGATCTGCCTGGAAGCTTCTTAGAATCCTAATTCTAGGCTAGAAGCGAACTTCATGAGATTAGTCAGTGAGTCACTGACAGCAATCACCGGGGCTCAAGGACACTGAGCATGAGCACAGTCTGAAGCCAGCAGCACGTGTCCAAAGTCTCTACTAGCCGAGTGTTACTTAGACAAACTCAGCTGATTTGAACTGATTGCGAGTGTGTGCGTTTTTTTCTTTTAGTTCTCACGTGAGACCACTATTGCCAACAGGCAGCTCAGGAGGGAGGGGAGAGTCGGGGGAGTTATGACAGGCTGGGGGCCAGCGGGTTGTTCTGTCTCAGGAGCAGATGTACAGGCTGTGGCATAGGGTCTGGCGTGATGAGGCTTTCTGGGGGCCCAAGCCAGGACTGTGTTGTCAGGTTTGAACCCCTGTCCCATCAAACAGATGGATAATGAGCTTACTTTCAAGTGGTCAGGTGTCCTGCCGAAGGAGCTACCAGCGCTCACGATGCGGAAACCTAGAGCTGGGCGCAGTGGTACGCACCCAGGATCCGGCTGCTTGGGAGGCTGAGGCAGGAGTTTTGTAAGTTTGTATCCAGCCTTAGCAACAGAGCAAGACCCTATCTCCAAAACAAACAAAAACTGGAGACCTGTGGGAGGAAGAGGATGGGCGAACGGAGGGTCGAATGCATGTCTCCAGCATCCCCAATGTTCTGTGCTCTCCAGATCAGTGTGGCAGCCTTCATAGCACAGGACCTCGCATCTGGGGACCTAAGCTTTCCTCAGCTCTGCCGCCAGCTCCCTCCTTCTCTGTCAGTTGAACCAGAATTACACTAACTTCCTCCCAGGCCGCTTCCCCTTCCTCCCATTCTGGCAACAGATCTTGGAGTTTGGCAATTGTTTGGATTTTTTTTTTCTTTCATTCTGCAATTGTGTGTATGTGTGAGAAGAAAAAAATAGACTGTCCAGGTAGAAATGGTAATGCGTGGGGAGGAGAGTCACACTTCCAGGGTCCCAGACAGCGATTCCTAAAGTGACTCAGACACACCACAGTAACAACTCTCACTGCCATTTTATTTTTACTTCAGAACTAAAGATTTCCTTCAAACCACAGGAGAGCTCTGCCACCTACCCACGAAGCAAGGTCTGCACTCACAACCAAGGGCCCAGGAAGCCTAAYGGCAGGGGACATCATTCCCCGCCCCCACTGGGGCCATCACTATATTCTGGGGGAACCTTGAGCAGCCAGGGGTGAGGAGACCACCATCTACCTTGGGAAATGGAGCCAGAGCTATGGCTTGACCAACACCCCTTGATGCTCATGGGAAACCTCTGCCCAGGAGCTCAGCCCCAGGCTGGTTGTTTTTACAAATCTCTCTCAAATGTATTATTTTGGTGACAAAAATGAAGGAGCTTTGTAAATTTTTTAAAAAAATTATGAATCATATCAAGTAGTTGTTTACATTTCTTGACAAAATAGGAACCATGGCAGCAGAATCAAATTGGCAAAATCCCTAGATTAAATAGGCAATAATTAGGTCTGCTGTTTTGGCCTTTTGTAGTAAGAGAAGTGGTTGTAGTGTTTAGGTATGTATTTGGTCTTGCTTCTTGTATTGCATTTTTCAATAAACTTCAAAAAAAAAAAAAAAAGCCCACTGACTCTAAGGATTGATCTACTTTTGTATTCTCTTCTATCAGTAACTTGGGGAAAATTAAAGCTGGATGGGGGAGACCTAACCTGAAAACATTTTCTAAAGTAAGCTCCCCACATTGGCCCAAATGCAGCTTCAGTGTTGTACAAAGGGGTTTCTGAGAACTGGCAAATGCTTTTTGCCAGCTGAAGGGAGACTGCGGCACAGGCCACAATAAAAAAAAAATAAGAAATAAAAAGAGGAGGGCTTCTCAGACCTCTCTGGGGAGTGGTCAGACCTTAGTATGAAGACATTGGCAGTAGTTAGCCCTAGTGGGATATACCCTGCATGGCTGAAGAAAGAAAGGGTTTGAGGTGATGGGAGCTAAAGGTTCAGTCCCCATCCCAGATGGCAGTGGAGGGTCTCAGCACCCTCCCATTGCCCATCTTCCCAGAAGCCCAAGCTCTAGCCCTACTCTGGAGAAGGCCTGTCTGTCCCAGCCTGCAACATCCCAACCTACCTTCCAAGTCTTAGAGGTCCTTGCCCACCACTTTGGGTTTGTTAAGACACCGGGTGCATCTCCCCATCACCTTTGGCCTGGACTTCCAGTCCCCTCAGGTACCTGTCCAGGGCTAAGGCCACATATGGAGGCTGAAGAAATTCCTGAGGCCGAGGCATGCTGGTCTCCACACTCCACTTTAAACCACTCCTGCTGGCTCACCAAGCCTTAGTGCAGCTACCACACACAGGTAGGATGCCTTAACAGCTGCTGTGGTCGGAGGTCCATCCCAACCTGAGATGTGCCTGAAGCAGCTATGGTCTCTGGTCCTGTTATCATGGTTCATGCTGCAGCCTCATAGCGGGTTGTCCCCCCTACTCCTCAGACCCGGGCCCCCAAATTCTCTCCTCCCAATTTGGCATACCCCCCCAGACTGAGACGGTCCAGCCGTGGCCAGCTTCTGTGAGCACAGTCACGAGCAGCTGGGGTCCCAAGGAGGAGCTCCCCAAGGCCCAGATCCAGAGACTTGGAATGTTCAATGCAGGAGCCAGAGGGCTGCACCGTGATGATCACGTGGCCAGTCTGGGTTCGTGGAGCCCAGGGAGGGGCCAGCCCTGGACCCTTCAGCGGGTAACGGTTGAGGAGGGCAGGTAACCCGAGGCGAGGATTAGCAGGCTCTGAACGCAGACTCCGCACTGACGGGACGGGTGAGGTACCCCGACGCGGGGACAGGTCCCAACCTTCTGGCTCAGCGCAGCCTATGGCTAGGGGAGTCCTTGGGCCAGGGCTGGGAAGGAGAGCGCAGTCCCAGCTGGGGCCGTCGGGGGGCCGGAGGGCCTGGTCCCGTAGCACCCCCTGGCGGAGTCGTCGCGTCTCCAAGTCTCGGTTCTCATAGAGAAGCGTGTTGGCACAGATGAATACAAACAAGCCGACGCCCATGATCACTGGCCCAAGCAGCCGCAGCCGCTCGTGCGGACCATGACCCCGGCCCGCGCCGCGACCCTCGCGTCGCAGCTCACTAACAGGGGGTGAGCTGGCATTGGCGGCTCGGGGCCCCGGGGCCCCGGCACGGTGCGGCCAGTAGCCGGCCACGGCGATGCCCATGCCCACCAGCACCACGAGCGCCCCCAGGGCCGCGAACGCCCCCGACGGCGAGCGCAGCCGCAGCCGCGCCCGCACCCGCAGAGGCTCGGGCGGAGAGCGCGGGCGCCGGCGGCGGCCCAGGCGGCGGCCCAGGCGGGAGACGCGGCCCTCGGGGCTCCTCCGCATCTCCCCGCAGTCTCCCGGGCTCCCGGCTGTCATCTCGCTGTCGTCCGGGCGCTCTGCGGAGAGAAGACAGGAGGCGGGGACTGAACCGACGGGCCTAGGTTCGGGGCTCCGGGCTCGGGGTCCAAATCAGGGATGGGAGCTCGGGCCGCCTCGCCCTGGCCGCTTGGAGATCCCTGGCGGCCACCCCCGGATTTTCCCGGGCTGCGAGGCAGGGAGCCGCCCCCGCTCGGGTTTTCCGCAGCGGAGCTCGGAGCCAGGGACGCGCGGCAGAAGCCCGAGTTGGCCCGGCCCGCGGGCGGAGAGGAGGGCGGGGGCTGCGGGCTGCAACCTGGCGCAGGCCGGGTCGCGGGGCTCCGGCCGCCTGCGCCCTCTCTGCCTGCCCGCGGGTCCCGGGCCTCGGAAGGCATGAGGCCCCCAGCAGCCGCGTCTCGGGGGTAAGTACCGCCGGGGTCGACCCCACCCCCGCACGTGGCTGCGCCGTAGTAACGGAGGGAGGGGGCGCTCAGACCGCTGGGTCCGCAGGGGTCGCTCGCGCGCTCCACCCCCCCCCTGCGCTTTACATACCGCAGCGTGGGAAGGAGGGGGTGTCACCGACTCCAGCCTCTCCTTGCCCGCCCCCTCCTTCCAGACTTCCTCAGTCAGCACCGGAGCTGTAGCAGGAGAGACTTGAGATAGACTCCGGGAAGACCGCTCTGATCAAGACCAGCCAGTCAGGAGGCGGCGGCGGACTTTGCCCAGGATCTCTTTCAACTCCTCCAGAAGAGGCCTCCCCCTCCCCCAGCAGCCAGGCTGGGACCTTGGCCGGAGGCAGGGGGCTGCCAGTGCTGGGCGCAGGGCCTCACCGGACAGACTCTGCTCTCGGCTCTCCCGTCGGCCCAGGCAAGGCTATTCCTAGGTTGCGGCGTTTCCGATTCGGGCTGCTTGGGATGAATCATCCCCCTTTCCCGCCGCCTGGCCTCCTTTTCAGCCTCCTCCGCCCGAGGCCTCAGTGGACCGCGTCCCAGCCAGAGCAGCAACGCCCAGAGCCCGAGGGTTCGGGCTGCACCGCTTAAACCCCTCCCAGCTACTAGATGTGCTGGGCCTGCGACCTGAGGACCAGATCCCGGCCGGGACAGGAGCAGCAGGGCTATAGGTGATGTGGGCCCCACCGAAGGGAGGGCGCGGAACGACACGCAGCCCCCATCCAGGCCCCAAAAGAGGAGAGTTAGGACTCGCTGTCCTGGAGTGCGTCCTTACTCCCCCACTCTGATTTCTAAGCAGCTGCAGCCCTGAAGGCATAGCCAAGCCTCAGGGAGGAGGATTTGCCACCCTGCCCACGCCCCAGCCGCACCCCGAAGCCCAAAACAGGACACCATTCCTGCCTCGGACAGCACTGCCCCAGGTCCGAGGCCTAGATAGAGTCGTAGCGTCTACCGCGTCCAAAGACTGGTTTTCATARATGGAAACTGCGGCCTGACGGGGGTCACACCGCCACACGAGGCGGGGGCTCCATCTCGGCCGACGCCGGGCTCCTGACCCTACCCCTGGGCATGGCACACCTCTGGGCATAGCCACAGGCGCGTCCAGGGAGCAGGCGAAGCCCATTACCCCTTTATCCCTGGATATGGAACCCTTTTCCCAGTCCAAGACAGCAGTGCCACCTCTTCTCAAGCTAGAGCTGGCGCCCCAACCCCAACTCCTAAGAGGTCACTCCCGARCCCCGGCCAGTCCCTGCCAGGAGGCGAAAGCATGCAAATCAGAGACTCATGGACACATTCAGAGACCCCAAGACTGGTGGGCCTGGGACGACGCTGAGGACCCCATGGAGGCGGAAACTAGAGTCACAGCCGGATGATCCCAAGGCGCGGGAAGTTGTTCACACCCCCATACTCCGGGGTCCCGCCACCTCCCGCGTAGCTACTGCGGCCTGGGGGAAAGGAAGGACCAGGATCCCGCCCCTGTTCCTCTCCCGAGGGAGGAGCCTAAGAAAGTTAGGGAAAGTGGGTGGCGAGCCCGTGGCTCCTGTCCTGCTCACCTGGAGCGGCCGCGCCAGAGTAGGTCCGGGTCCGAGTCCGCGCGCCGCGGTTCCCGGCGCCTCCTAGATCTCCACGGAGCTCCGCCCCGGCCCCGCCCCGCGCCGCTCGGCCCCGCCCCGCCGGCCCCGGAGCCCCCCGAACCCTCCGATCCGCGCGGCGCTGCAGGAAGGCGCAGTTTGGGTCTGAGGGCGACAGGTAAGCGCTGTGTGCGCGCCTGGCGACTCCGAGGGCCCGCGCCCGACTCCCCCACCCTGGCTCCAGCTCATGCAGCACGCAGGGACCTGGAGGGTGCCCCTTCCCCACCGGAGCCTCTGCCCAGACCCTCAGTCCGGGGAGTCCACGCCCGCCCCTCCTGTCCCCAGAGCCCTCCTTTCTTCGCCGAGAGGCGGCCCGAGCCCGACCAGCTGCCCTTCCGCCGTGCGAACCTCACTCCTTCGTCTGCCAAACAGGCACCACGTCGTCTGCCTTTCAAGGCACCGAGAGGCGACAATCGGACGTTGGGAGCAGGGCCCACCACCCAGGGCGCAGCCTGGGCCACCCGAGCCCTCGATGGACGTCAGCCACGGTGGCCGCAGCGGGGACAACCGGGCTGGGAAGGAGAAAATCAAGCGGGGTGTCGAGGGTCCGGCCTCAGACGCGCCCATTTCTGGCGGGGAGCTGCGCTGGCCCCGCTGAGGAGGCAGTGCTGAGGGCCGCGGCCACCCGCCGACGACGCTCCGGGCCGGCTCCTGGCCCGCCGGCCCGGAGGAAGAACGCGGAGCGGAGCGGCGGGGGCCGGGCGGGCGGCCAGTTTCCATGATGCGCGGGGCGGGCTCGAGGAGGGGCGCTGCGGGCCGGCTTCCAGGCCCAGCGGCCCGGCCGGGCCCCTCGGGAAGAATTTCCGGCCTGGGATTGATTATAACCCGCCCCTCTCCTGGCCGCGGGACCCCCCGGCACGCGGGCCGAGGCGAGGGGGATGGGCAATAATGAGACCCGGCTGTGCGCCCCAGCCGGGGACACGACTCGAGGAAGTGATGGGGAGGGGCCGGGTCCCCGAGCCGCTCAGCCCAGCCAGCCTCGAACACGGCCTCTGGCTTTGTGCAGCCGACCGAAAGCATCAGCGCCCCCGAAGGCCTTTCCGAGCCCCAGGGAACCAGGCATCCTCGGGAGGGACCCAGGCCAACCCCGGACGGAGGTTCCTCCCGAGGACCGAGGGAGCACCAGCAGCCCCCAGGTGGCCACACTGCGTGAGGCCGAATCCCGCTTCCCCGGCTTCGCCCTGCGGCTCTAAGAGCCAGGTTGGGGTCCGGTTCCTGCCTCCTGAAGACTGAGTTGCGAAGAGCTCTCTGGCTTGCTCGCAGAGGCACGGCCTCCCTCCTGCCTCCTCCCTACTCTCCTTGCTTTCCTTTGCTCTGGACCACCCCCAGCGACCCACTCCCCACACACTGCCTCCACCACGCCCCCACTCCTGCCTCCGCACACGCGGCCCTGTCAGGGCTCACTGCTCTTCCTAGGGACGCCAGTTGGGGGGGGGGGGGCGGGGAGCCTGGACCGTCTCCCGCCCTTGCTGACCTCTCCTCTGGTGATGGTTGTACCACTTACTCCTCCACCCGCTCCTGGGGCTCGCACCTTGGCTGGTTTCCTCTCTCCCTGGTGGTGGGAATCTTCCACCTGGTGGCAATCTTCCACCTGGGCCACAAGCCCAGCTTCACTCTCTGCAGCTAGACACCTCTCTGGCCCYGTGGTGACCATCCCCTGTCCCACTCCTTCCCTGTCTCCCCTTCACAAAGTCCCACTGTCACCAGAGTACACTGGTACACTAGGTCACCTTAGGCTGCTGCTGTTTTGTTTAGTTTTCAATTATTATTGCTGTTTTTCCATGTACATGACAGTAGAGTGTGTTCTGACATGTTAGTATCACTTATTCCTATTAGAATCAGGCTGCTTCTTCCCCACCCCTTCATCCAGCAGTCCATCAAGTCTGGGAAACTGCCTTTCTCATCTGGAATCAACCTCTTATCCCTTCCCCATGGCCATGATCCTAGTCCAGGCCACCCATCTGGTCCAGGCCATCAACCTCCTCTGCCTGGAGAAGGCATAGTCTTGCCACCTCCTAATCCCTTCTAACCTTCTGCAGACAGGCACCCAGCATCTTTCTACCCTGAATCTGACCCTGTAATTACCTACTTAAAACCCTCAGTGGCTCCCTGTGTTGTCCAGATACAGTTTAAAATTCCTTCTTGTCTCACAAACTGGCCCTTGGACCTCTCACACTGCTCCCTCCTGGGTGGCTGAGCTTCTTTCTGTCTGTCCCCAGACCCTCTGTGCTCTGGCCTCCAGGCCTGGCAGGTTTCTGGCTGTCAGGAGCATCTATTTCCCTTGCCACCACCTCCTCCTCCTTCAGAGCTATGGGCCTTCTCCTAGCCCCCAGGCCAGGCCAGCCCCTCCTTCACCCTTCATGAAATGTCCTCATGTACCAGAAACTTCCCTGTGCACAGCACAGATGAACTGAAACCATCGTTTTCAATTGAATCCATTTGTTGTCTGTGTCCCAAGTGGCCATGATGGGGTTGGTCCTGCTTATCTCTGAAGCCCTGTGCCCAGCATGGTGTCTGCTCACCGCTGGCCCTCTCCCCCTTGTTAGAGGAATGTGTGCTAGGCCTGTCTCTCTTACCCTGGGGCCCTTTCCTACTCTCCACCCCTAGGGCCCTGACCCAGGAGCAGAAGGAAAGAATTCTGCAGAGGCTCAATTTCTTCATCTGTAAAAGGACAAGGAACTATTTCCCTCCTGGTRTTGTTTTGAAGGCTGAATAAGAGTACACATGCTCTGTGCCTGGCGCAGACAGGCACCAGCCAACAGCCCCTCTTTCCTATAACCATGGGGTTTCAGACACAGAGGCCAGCGCGTGGGGTTGTTCAGGGTGGCAGGGCGGGGAAGGGGTTCCTTTCCCCAGATATAACCTTGTTTAATTCTGTTGAGAACTCTGGGAGGTCAATGTTATGCCTGTTTTGGGATAAGAAACTGTGGCAGACAGACTTGCCCACAGACCCAGCCAAACTAAGTCTCTCCCACTGTGGAGGGGCCTCCCAGGGCCTGCCTGGCTTAACCCTGTGGACATGTAGCAGCCTCAGTACTGGGACCATGTCCCCAGGAGGCCTGGTTCACTCTCAAATCTTCCCTGGCCTCTGTGTGACCTGGACTCTCAGGAGGACCCTGGATGAGATGTCCCCTGGAGACCAGGGTGATGAACATTTCCTCTTCCRAGCTTCTCTGTGGGATCAAGGAACCTGACAGAGTGACTCAAGGCTCACGTCCTCTTCAGAATCCACCSTCGGGAGAAAGCCCAACAGCTGTCACCTCCTGCATGCACAACCTCAGCCTGAGCCACAGAAATTCAGCAGGGCCTCAAAATTTATCTTTTCTAAGAACAATGTGCTGGCCTCATCTAGACAGCCTCTGATTTCCTCCTGCAGCCCCCGCTGATGCTGGTGTGTCCTAGGCACAATGTCCCCTTACGGCTCTTGCCCAGAGAGACCTCGGCCTCTCTGGCACAGAGGGGARCACATGGCCTGGGTCCCAGCTTTGCCGGGACTGCTCAGTAATTYCCAGAGTGGCCTTGGAAGTGTCACGCACTTCCCTCTGCTCCTGCCTCTGTAACGTGTCCTCTGCAGGCAGGACTGGTGTCTGGATGTGATGAGGAATGTTTGGCAAATAGAATACAGGATCCCAATCCCAGTGCTCCAACACCCAGATGGGGTCAGTGACGGGTCCAGAGTGACCCAGCTTATGCATGGCAGAGCATAAGGGGGACTTCTGTGCTGGGCAGCTCTGGGCTTCTTCCCAGGTGTCTCTGTGCTGCTGGCAAAGCCATAGGGAGAGCGAGCTCCCCCTCTCCATTACTCTCTGAGCCCAGAAAAGAGAAGGAAGCAGAGCCTGGGTGAAGCTGGGACAGTCAAGGGAATGAGACCCTCGTGGGGAACAAGGCAAGGCCAGGTCCCTGCAAGTTCTTAGAGGGACAGCAGCTGGCATGTTACCATCTTACAGAGCTGTGCCCAACTACCAGCCCCTGTATAGACCCTGACTTAACGCCCGTGAGGTGAGCTCCCTYCTGGGCCACTCTTGTGGAGCCCAGCTTCTGTGAGTTCCAGGCCTGCAGCTGACCCATGGCAGAGCCAGAGACAGAACCAGGCTCTAAGCAGCTCTGTGACTGTGGGCAAGTCAGGTCACCTCTTCAGGCCTGTTCCCTGCTCTGCAAAACAGAGACAACGGTAATAACAGTGTCACAAAAATGCTACAGTGAGGATCCAGCCCCTCAGCCTGGAGCACAGTGAACGCGGAGCACAGCGGTGCTGTGGTTCCCTCACCTGTAAAATGTGAAATGGAGGCTGATAATTACAGCCTTTTAGCCATCTTCTCTGAGCTAGCTGTTGGGGACCAGGAGGGGCCAGTCAGGCCTCATCCAGAGGCTTTAGGGGTTGGCAGGAACAGACATGTCCACCAAAAGTTATGACAGTTGGCAGCAGCAGACATGGGGAGTCATGCCCAGATAGCCCCAGGGCAGTCGATTCACCCCAGAATCTGTTTCTTCATTAGACAGCGTGCCAGTCACCTGCCTTGGAGGGTCATCAAAAGCCTCGCCTGGAAGGACCCAGTAAGACTTAGCTGCTGATATTGTTCTACTGCTGTTGACCCCGCTCCTATGTTCTAGCTCATTTCTGCATCCTGTTTCTTATTTTTGAACATTCCAATCCGCCCATCTTGGATCGGGCTTTTTCCTCTGGTTCAATCAACTGGGGAACAGAGGGAGGGGACAGGGTTAGGAAGTCCAAAGGCATAAGGGCTGGCAATGTCGATTCTCTCAGAGCCTGGGAGGGATGACAGGTCTCCACCAGCCTTGGTGGGAGGGCAGGTTGGACCTTGGGAACTGAGTGATCTCACAAGGGCTTGGAGTAGGACTACTGGCTGGAAAAGTGACCACGGGCACATGCCTGCCACTTATGGTCTCAACCTTGAGGGGTTGAGACTGGAGGGTCACTGTGAAGATTTGCCTCCCCCTCATCTATGGGTGCTCATGGATGACAGGTCACAGGAAGAAAAACCTCAACAGAGAAATTATATATTTTTGATCCGGGCGCACAAGTGCTACCAGTTACTCGGGACTCTGAGGCAGGAGGATTGTGAATTCAAAGCTAGCCTCAGTAATTTAGCAAGGCCCTAAGCAACTAAGCAAAACTCTGTTTCAAAATAAGACGGGGGCTGGGGATATAGCTCAGTTGGTAGAGTTCTTTCCTGGCATGCACAAGGCCCTGGGTTCAATCCCCAGCACCCCCCCACACACACACACACAAGATATAGCAGTGGTTAAGTGGCACCAATAAAAAAAATAGGGCTGGGGGTGTGACTCAATGGTAAAGTGTCACCAATAAATAAATAAATAAATAGGGCTGGAGGTGTGACTCAATGGTAAAGTGTCCCAGGTTCAGTCCCCAGTACCAAAAAATGAAAAATAAAATACAAAGAGAGGAGAGAAAATTACATATTTTTGAGAATATCTACAAGTTTCTCTTTCCTCTGCACTTCTGTGCAGAGAGGCCTGCCTTAGGAAGGCGCAGGACTACAATCAACCCACAGTGACAGCCCTTAACACCTAGAAGTCTGGGTTTGCTGTAGACCAGGAGATGGGAGTAATTTGTTA